TACATTCCAATTGAAACAGTAGTGCTCACTTTTGACGGCCAAGTCTTGCCAAAACGTGTATACTTATGCTATAATTCTCTACCTGTTGATCTTTACATTTATCCAACTATACAATGTTTTCAATGCTGTCGATATGGTCACATTAAATCACAATGTAGGTCTTCTCCCCGTTATTTCAAATGTGGTAATGGTCACTCTGGTGACAGTTGCAATGTTGAAGAAGAAAATGTTACATGTTGCCTTTGTTCTGGATCACATTTTGCTACTAACCGTAAATACCCAGAGTTTTTTAGACAAAAATGTATTAAAGAATCCATGGCCAAAAGTTGTCTATCATATGCAGAAGCTCAGAAATAACATCCTCCTATTGGTAGATCATATTCTGATGTTTTGTCTACTCCAATATCTACTACATCATCACAAATGAAAGTCTTGAATCCAAAGCCAGAAAATGTTAACAAATCTTACAAAAAACAGTTTTTTTAAAGCCTAAAGTTCCTGTACAGCTTGGTAAAGGATTTGACAAAAATGCTCATGCGAAATTAACCAATGAATATGACATTCCATTACCAACAGTTGGAACAGGTTGTAATTTCAACTCCCTTCAAAACTTGTCAACTCGTGATTTAATTCTCACCCTTGTAAATTTTGTTATTCAATCTTCTCAAGTATTATCTGAAAATTCTATACCGTCCAACACTGCCACTTTTACTGCAAATCAATCTCTAAACAGCAACAATAATGGATCAGTCAGTGGAATTGTCGCAGCATTAGCTCTAAGAAAAGTGATATAATCTATCTAGCAAATTCATATCAACCTTTTTTAATTTCATTACAGGAAACCTGGTTACGTCCCGGTTTTAATTTCCGAATTCCCAAATACTCTAGTGTTCGTCAAGATAGGTTAGACGGATACGGTGGAGTAGCAATTTTTATTAGAAATGATATTATTTTTTCTCAGTTTACTATTCCAAATCATAGTTCAGATTTTTCAATTATTGCTGTTACCATTAACAACATATGTTTTGTTTCCCTGTATATTCCACACCCCTCTTCAAATGTGTTTAATGAAATAGAATCAATTTTTTCTATACTTCCCAATCCAATTTTAATCATGGGAGATTTCAATGCCCAGCATGTAACATGGGGCAGTTCCAATTAGGGTTGCCACCCGTACTTTTTTATAAAGTATTGTACGTTATTTTGGGTAATTGTACTCTATACTTTATGACAACAATAAAGTACGCGAAAATACTTTATTTTATGTGGTTTGATTACTCGGGGATTGACTATGCATAAAATATACAAAAAGGGATTGATTGGAAGAATTTTTGCGTAAAACGGACAGACAGTATGTATAATATGTCGCCCTTAGCTCATTCTTGCAACATTGTCGTGACTGTATGGCTTTGTGCCATGATCTTTCCCGTTGCGGAAAAGAACTACAGATTTTTAGTAGCTGCAAATTATTTATTAAAAGTTGCTAGAACCAACGTAAGGTATATTTTTAAGCTTACTTATAAGGTGGAATAAAAAGTACTTTATTTTGGATACAATGTACTTTTTTTTACTACTTTCAAGTTCCAATGTACTTTATTTGGACAAAAAAAAGGTGGCAACCCTAGTTCCAATAGTAGTTATTATGGCTCTAGACTGTTGGATATGGTCGTTAAGTATAACTGGTGTATTTTAAATAGTGGTGAGGCAAGTGTCCCCGATCTTTCAATCTGTTCACCTAATTAAGCTTCTATCATTTCTTGGAAAACTTTATCTTACAGTTATGGTAGCGATCATTTTCCAATATTAATAAATTTTCCTTTAGTAACTTCTAACTCTCGTACTAAAAGTCTGCTCCCCTAGAATGAAAAAACTTGAAAATGCTAATTGGTTTTTGTACAAACAAGAAGTAGAACAGGTAATTTCTAACCTCCCGTCTATCGAACAAAACAATCATGAAGTTTGTGCAGAAGCCTTTGCATTGACTATGTTGCAAGCTGCAGAAAAGGTGTTCCCAGTCAAAAATAATAATCGTAACAAGATTCCATCTCCCCTTTGGTGGGATAACGAGTGTTCTTTAGCAGTTAAAAAGAGGAAGCTTACAGAAAAAATATATAGAAAAAATTCTACGAACGAAAACTTTGAGTTATTATCTCGTGTAATGACCGAAACAAAGAAGCTTCTTAAAAAAAAGAAATGGGAAGGGTGGAAGACCTTTTGTGTATCTTTATCACCTGACGTCTCACCTTCTGTAGTTTGGCAAAATATACGGCGTTTTCGATCAGCTTTTAAGGAACCTGGCGCAGCTTTTCTTCCAAAAGATGTACTAGACAACTTTTTAGATAAACTTGCTCCTCCGCTAGTTCCCAATTTCTTTATCTCTCATACTCTTTCCCCAATAATTAATACCAACAGCTTAACAAATCTCGATTCTCCTTTTAGCCTTGCAGAGCTGAAAGGTGTTTTAGCCTACGTTAAAGATTCTGCTCCAGGAACTGACGGTATACCATATTCTTTTCTCTCTCATTTAAACGATTCTAGCCTTCTTTATTTTTTAGAATTAATTAATTCCATTATGATTTCTGGCAATATTCCTACTTCGTGGAAATTACAAGAAATAATTCCTATTTTAAAACCAAATAAGCCTCCTTCTGATGCTAATTCATACAGACCAATAGCCCTCTCATCCGTTCTTGCTAAATTAACCGAACATCTAATAAAAAATCGATTAGAATGGTTTGTTGAAACTCATGAATTTCTTGCTCCGAACCAATACGGTTTTAGAAAGGGACGAAGTACTATGGATAGTCTTGGTATATTTACTACCGATATAAGATTATCATTGAGTAACAATGAATCAACACTTGCAGCTTTCTTAGATATAAATTCTGCCTATGATAACATCGATCTGCACGTATTAAAGCTGAAACTCCTAAACCTAAAAGTTCCTCTTAATCACTAATTTTATAATTAATTACTTGTCTGGTAGAGTGATTACAATTGATACGGGCGATTCAAAGTATAAATCTAGAACTTTATGGAAGGGTTTACCTCAGTGATGTGTCATAAGCCCTATCTTGTATAATATTTATACACATGACCTAGATAAAGCCATTCAAAATTCAAATAGTGATTGTAACAATGTGTCGGTATTACAATATGCAGATGATTTAGTTGTATATGTTTCGGGACGATCAATTTTAGAAATATGAAATATTTTAAGTAGAGCACTGTCCAAACTTAAAATTTGGCTAGATTTTAACGCTCTTAATCTCTCCGTTTCAAAAAGCTGCGTAGTGTTATTTTCTAGTATGCGTCTGCCCCCTTCTGTTTCCGTATGTTTCGACAATAAACCTATCCCGGTACAAAACGAAACAAAATTTTTAGGAGTTATTTTAGACGCTAAATTATCAGGTTTATCTCACTGCTATTATGTTACAGCTCGATGTGAACGAGTTTTAAATATCATGAGATGCTTAACAGGTGTTTGGTGGGGTGGACACCCATATACTTTGAAACTTATTTACAATGCTCTTTTACGAAGTATTTTAGACTATGGAAGTTACTTTCTTGAGCCATGTAATGCTGTTGGGCTTAAAAAGCTTGATGGGATACAGTCTAAAGCTCTTCGCTTAATAACCGGAGCAATGAAATCTAGCCCTATCAATGCTTTACAAGTGGAATGTGTCGACCCTCCTTTGCGACTCCGTCGTCAATATCTTTCTGACAAGTTTTTGTTCCGTGCTTTGCAATTTGCTAAGCACCCCCTTCATTCCAAATTATCTACTTTTTCACATGTAGTAACAACATCTTCTTACTGGAGGCTTGTCACTACCTTGTTTATTTGTAAGTTTTCGTAAAATTTCCTCTCTGCATTCCCTACTCACATCTCTCAACGTCTGTTTATTTTTTCTGCAGACTATGAAGCTTTAACTCTTGTTCCTAAAATATATTTTATTTTAGATATATCTCGATCCATTAATTCTGCAAATGTTGATTTTAATATAATCATAGATAGAGACTGGCCAGATCGACATTACATTTATAGCGATGCATCTAAAAACTCTTCCTCAGGCCTCGTTGGTGTTGGAGTTTATCATCAACAATCAAAAATTGTCCAAAAAATTAAACTACCACCTGAAACTTCTGTTTTTACTGGTGAATGCTACGGATTATTTAAAGCTTTAGAATATATTTATCTGATGAAATTGCATAAATCTGTTATATTTTCTGATTCTAAAAGCGCGCTTCAAGCACTTCAAAAATTTCCTTTTAAATATACCAATCATCCTGTAATCATAGATTGTAGAAAATTGCTCTGGCAATGCCATTTAAAAGGTTTCGATGTAGTTTTTGCCTAGTCATATAGGTATTTCTGGCAATGAAATTGCTGATAAACTTGCCAATGATGCTGTGGATTGTGGAGATATTTTTCCATACAAAAACTTTATTAATGATCTTTTAGGTCTTCCTAATTCGGATCTACTTGAATCTTGGGAACAAGTATGGTCTGTTTCTAGTAAAAATAAAAGCATTATTCACAAATTCAAACTTTCATTCCTACAAAGCCTTGGTTTTATAATTTTAGATTTAGCAAGATAACGATCTCTATCATAACTCGGATGAGACTGGGTCATGTTTGCACTCCTTCTCATCTGGCCAGATTAGGAATAGTTAATAGCAGTAAGTGTAATTGCGGCGCTGATATTGGCGATTTAAACCATATTTTTTTTTGTCTGCTCATTAAATGACTGTTCCTCTTTTATTGACTCCTTAACATACCTTCGTACTCCTCTCCCGACTTCTATAAATACTTTGCTATATTCTATGAAATATGATATTTATTTATGTATTTCAAATTTTATCTTTAAACATAATATTAAACTGTAAATATGTAAATACTTACCTGATCCTTTCCTAAAAATTCCGTTCCTTTTTTTTATCCTGTTTCCCTACCTTTACATTTGTATGTGGCTGACGCACAAACCGTGCAGGCTATAAAGGAATAAAAAAAAAAACTCTCATTATCTGTGGTGTTCGTTCGCGGAGAACCCGAATGAACGCGAGCAAATCAGCGGGTGTCTCGTCTAACCTTTTTTGATATTTTATTTTGAAGGATTGATTATTTTACCAGGGATCGGGCTTATTTTTGAAATTGTTCTTTGCCTAATTGTGAAACCTAGTCATTGCGTTAATGTTCCATCCAATGTCGTTTGTTAAAAACTTTGGCCACAAAAACAGTGGCGACAAGTAGTATGCAACATGTAAGTCGATAAATACATAAAAAAAAAAATAAGTGACCAAATTTCACGTTCTGAGCTAAACGATTTTATTATAGCAGTAGCTTTTACAAAAAGAAACACAATATTATTTTTGGTTTCGGTCTGTCGCCGTGGTGTAACATTCACCACGTGAGAATGTGGTTTCTCTTCAGCATGCCATTTATTGGTTCGAATCAAGTGGTTCGAGTGTTTTGGTTAATTATCTATAAATGTTGATTTTTTTTGACGATTTCCGTGGCCGAGTGGTATGTACGTCGGGTTTCAAGGTGTCGCCTACTCGTGAGGTCCCGAGTTCGAATCCCGGTATGGCTAATGTTAATATGATGAATACGAGCGTTTATACTTTAGTCATGGATGTTTATTAAGTATTTCTACATAAAAATATACATCAATATGTATCAGTATATGTATTCTATCTATTGCCCTGATGTATTTATTTAATTCAAAAGTGTTTTGAAGAAAGACTATAATAGCAATTGACAAGTTACCTGCTTTTAAATTTGATATAATAAAGTACATCTCCAATTTATAACATATTTTTTAATAAAACATTGTTTGAATAGGTATAAAGAAAGATTTATTAACTTTGGCTTATGTTTAAATGATCACCAAAAATACAACCGCTAACCTAAGCTTTAGGTTTTAAATTGTAGTTTTGTGGTGATCATTTGTTATTTTTTGAGGATCATTTAAATTACTATTACTTTATGATGTGTGCATGATTATTTTTTATTTATTTCAGCACCAGTTAACCTCTTGAAAATATATTATCTGATTGTCATTTGTGATGAATACCAAAAGTTCTAAAAGGTCTGCCACTTCTAGGATACTTCAAAATAATAAAGATGAAGCAGAAGTATTTGTTTTACCACCTAATCTTCTAGAAAAGTTGGGTATTCAGCTAGGTAATATTCAGCCAACCCAGGAGTGCCCAGCAAATAAATTAGGTAAAAAAATATTTTTACAAATATAGAAACTGTTGCTATTGGTAATAGCTTACTTTACTAATCATAATATATGTTATTCATTTTATATTGTTATGATTTGTTGTAGATCACAGAGCGGTTCAAGTTAAACACAAAAATAAGGAGAATAATTATGACACTGAAAATCTGCCCTTAAACTCTTTCACATCACCAATTTTAAAAGAGACATCGATTTTAGAGACTGCTAATCTAATGAAAAATTCAGTTTTTCTTAGTCCAACATTTGTGCCTACTTTGGCAAATGTTATAGCTGGTGAAGTTGAAATAGCAAATATTTCCAAACACTCATTGCAGATGGTCAGCAATAATGAGTTAAATATTGAACATAGTCACAATCTAGTTGATACATATAACATACAGGAAAAAATAAACACTGATACTGGGCTTGTCAATTGTGATGAAAGGTTACTAAAGTCTTATCATAAACAGATACAAACTGCAGAGGAACATATAAATATAATTAAAAACTTGGAAGAGTCTTGCATCAAAACTATAACTGCTAAATCTCCTAGTCTGTCAGCCACTAAGAAGCAACTGGATATTCAAGTTAAGCAGCCTATAGAAATAACTGATATCAAAAATGGTATTAATGAAATGAAAAAAAACATATCTCAGCAATTGACAAGCACTGAAGATGGTCTAATATCTAGTGAAAAACAAGTAATCACAGATAAAGAAACAGAAGATTGCCAAAAGATAACTCTTGAAGATCTGCAAATCAAGGATATAATATATGACTTATCAATTGATGAAATAGCTGGTTTTGAAGCAAATTTTTTGGATACACCAAATTTTGACTTTAATTCAGAAGCTATCTCAGCTGAAGAAAAAGGTTTGCCACCAATTCCTAAAGATAAAATAAATATGTCAAAAAGTAAAGTTCAAATTGTGTCTGAAGAAATTATAAACTGTAATAAAGTTAGAAGTTACAAGTTACCTAGTTCTTTTAATGAAACCAACTTTATTCCAGTAACAGTAGGTACTATAATTTCAACAAAAAAAGATGACACAAATTATTTGAATAATAATCAACACAAATCTATATCAATATTTGATGATGATCAAGGTATTATAAATAGTGTCTGTTTACATACAACTTCACTTAATAAGGACGACGAGAAGACAGACTTCAGTTGTAAAGTAACAGATTATGATATTCCAAAAAATAATCATAATATAATTTCTGATGATAATTTTTCTGAGCATGATTCCATGATTCTTAATGAACATAACCAATTGCAAGAACATCATAAAGAAGCCAACTTAAATGACTGCAGTGAAATTCATAGAGATGAAAATGGCGATTCTTTAACATTTCTTGATGACAGTACTTTAATATCTAATTTTGAACTTGTTTTATCAGATGTTAATTCTACAGTGAATACCCAGAGCACTAACAATTTAGGAGCAAATGGAAATGATGTAGCTAAGTGTGATAATAATGTAAAATCTGATATTGATAAAGTACCACCTCAGAGACATATCTGCAATCATACTTTAACTGACATTAAAGTCAGTGATCAATCATTAAATCATATATCAAATGTAAGGAAGGATAATGAAGTCAATGGAAAAAAGAAATTTCTGCCCATATTGACTGCAAAAACAAACAACACTAACCAGACTTCAAATAAACGAACAAAGTTGAAAAGTTGTGTGCAAGGTGTAGAAAAGCCTGGTGGCAATGGTTTTGTAGAAGTTGCAAGTTTTGCTAATATAAAAACTTATCAAAGGGTTAAAAGAAATAATTCAACATTGTTGCAGCAGAATGTAACTGAAGCACATAATGAAGTTACAAATAATGACATTGACACTGTGTCAGATGAGAACACAATTTTAGGTTTTGAGGATACAACTCAAGACTATTGCTTGTGCAATGACTTTGGTCAGTATAGTCATTATGATTGCCAGGATGTATATGCACATATACATTTCTTGGGAAATAACAGTGTCAGTATTGGACCAGAAATTATTTATGATATATATAATGAAAATATTGTTGGCATTAATCATGACACTTATGAAGATTTGCAAGATGCCAAGAAAATTGAGGAAAAAGAAATGGTTCCCATTTGTTGGAAAACTATCTCAAAGGCAATAGCAACAAATTATGACTGTAAAAATTTGGATTTACAAGCTAATAAAAAGGCCGAAAAAATAGTAGTAGATAATGTGCCAGCAATCTTTGAGATATTAAAAGAAGATGATTTAAATAGGCAAAACGGCTGTTCCGATTCTAGTTTAAATATCAATGCAAAATCTGTTGCAGGAATTGTTCACAATTATGATTCAGTTGGAAATATGGAGTCTTCTGAAAATAAAAAAATAGAGTTAGATAAAAATGAAATTTTGAGTGAAAATTTTGTCACAGAAACTACAGCTCTGGAGACATTTACACAGATAACTAATCAGAAAACAAGTAAAGAAATGAAAACATCTTTGCAGCCGCATTCTACTAAATTTGATATAGTAACAGATAATTACTTAGAAAAACTAAATGTCACTGGAAATATATCTTTTGACATGAAAAAAGATAATGTTAAGTTGTATAACTCTAACAATGAACATTTAATAAATATGAACATTGACAATGATGCAAAATCAAATAATATGATTGATGTAGACCAAGCTAATCAACCACTACAAATATCATATAATGTTCCCATCAGCATTGTTAACCAAAACCATTCAAACCAAATTTTTAGGAAATTATTGGATGACAACATGGAATACATGAAAAAAAATTGCAAAGAAAATGATACAGTTCATAATAGCAACATTGCCATAAAATCTGAAGTAGCTGTAAGTAAAAAATCTTATTTTTTTTTAAAACACTACTGCCCTGCACAAAACATACTAAAAAGATTTTTCGTTTCAAAGTCTCGAAAAGTTATTCTACAGCTGCAATCAAAGAGGTGCCCTGACTGTAATTTATTTTAAGGTAATGTGTATTTTATGAAGCCAAGTATTAAGGTTTTACTAAACTTATAAATAGGTTGTATATAGTTGTAGATTGTGCTAGTCCAAGCCTTCAATTAAATCTATATTGATTTATAATGATGAAAATAAAATTGTATCCCACTTGATTTTTTTTTATCATAGCCTGTGTAGCTCTTCGTTGTACCATAGGTGGTGACATAGTTTCTTACAATACACTATGCATCAAAAGCAGTTCAGCCCAGCTAAGTATTTTTTTAAAAGATCTATATGTAAAGGGTAAAAATGAAATGGAATCCTATTGCTGTCACTCTGATGACTGTCCATATGTTACGGGTCTCTAGATTGAAAACAGAGTGAGAATGGCTTTATATGATTTCTCTTATTTGGTTGCCCTCTGTGGCCCTTTGGGCCCTAGAGTAAATAAATACGTCCCATCATATATAAACATAAATAAATCCACACAAAACATTCACATCTTTTTCAGCAGTTGTGTATAAAGTCTTGGGTGTGCTGGTCAAATATATTGAAATATTGACATGATATTAAACCCATTTCATTTTATTTATGTTAGTGAAATTTATTTCAGGTTTGTGATAAAGTTGCTGAGAAAACAATAAATTTAGCAAATAGTCAAGAAGTTGTGGAAGATGTGACGGTTTGCAGTGCTGATAAGAGAAAAAGAAAGGTAAACTTAATTGTGTAACTCTTATGGAACAAATGTTTGAAATACAACATCCATCTAGTCATCTTTTTACGGATCATTGGGCTGTCATTTGTCAACGATTATTTTGTTTTTGCCAATGGTACTTTAAAATCCAAATTGATTTAATATACACCTCGCTAAAATCCTTGGCGTCACCTTTGTAACGTTATATTACCCTGGTTTTGCAACAAAATCAGGCATATTTATTAGCTAGAGATTGCAAGGGATTTAATGATATATAATAGATAAACAGTATATGAGAAGTCGACGTGACCATGACTATTTCCCTGGACTAAATGTACTCATCCAAACAATAAGAAGTGATTCACAAATAGGTCAAGAAGTTTTTAAGTTTTTATTTGGAATGTTCTACTTCTGCGTGGTAGAGCCCTCCTACCCCCTTATAAAAAAAAACAACGGGTTGCACTCCGGGAGTGCCGGCAGAAGTGAAAACTTGAATATTAACGTTTTGCTTTTTTGATATTTTGGAATGGTTAGGGAATAATTTTGCACGAATTGCTTTAAATATCAGTATAAAAGTACTATCATTTATGTGGTAGAATACAATATTTATTTATTGCGCTATCGTACATAAACATGACAATTTATATTACATTAAAAAGTTTATCTCTCAGAAAAATCAACTTACATAAATCACATTTAAGCGCACGTAGCGACATCTATTTAAAAAAAATGCATTTTCTTCGCAATAAAGTTGCCACCTGGACGTCCTAATTAGAGACTTATTGTTATAATACGATAAAATAAAATATGACTATGTTTCGTCCAATATATTGGAGGTCAACAACCTTTCCAATTTTATTGTTTTCGTCTTACGAATTTTCGATTAGGTCACGTATCCTGACGCGAGTTTAACAGTTTTTACCCATTACAAAAAAAGTGTACAACGCCGCTAAAGAAGTTTTCACTTCAAAAATCATCTTAAAAAATTAACGAAAGTATAATCCTAACTTCCTAACTAATATTATAAATGCGAAAGTGAGTTTGTTTGTTCGTTTGTTAGTTACTCAAACACGCAAAAACTACTGAACGGATTTGGACAAAATTTGGTATTTATATAGTTAGGACCTGGATTGAGACATAGGATACTTTTTATCTATTCTATTTCTTTTTTTGGATTCTAAAAAAAAACAAAGTTAACGCGTACTAAGTCACGGGCGGCCGCTAGTTCCTTATATAAATAAAAATGACCGCTAAAATCAGTGTCAGATTGTCAGGTAACCAAAGCTCTAAAGTTTCAACATCTCTTATTTTATGTTTACAGAAGATTAGTGAAGAAGGATTCAATTTGTTTAAAATGGATGAATCAGTAGCTACGAAAAATGTGAAATGTGGTTTGTGCAAACAAATGCTAGCCAAATCGGATTGGAATGATCATTGTTCCCAAAAGCACAATTCAGTTGCTTGGAAATTGGAACAAAAAATTGTGAGACCTATCACATTTGGGTTTTTGTTTTGTACTATTGTGATAGTTGATTGTTACTTATTGATTTTTGTATTTCAGGATTTTGTTGATGGCAATTTAATTGAGGAATTGAAAAATACCTTACAAGTAAACAATATCTTGGAATGTAATTTTTGCAATTTTAAAATAAACCACCTTCCTACATTCATATTACACATTAAGAAATGTGTACAGTATAAGGTAATATTTATTATCAGCCAGTATTTCACAACTCAATCCTAACTAATTATAAATGTGAAAGTGAGTTTCTTTGATTGTTAAGCTTTCACGCACTACACCACTGAGCGGATTTAGATGAAATTTTATTTAACTTAATGAAAAGTGTTAGGTTCCAGATTGATTTTCAAAAAACTAAAGCAGTGATGCGAAAGTTCCGATTAATCGGGAGATCTACTGATTTTTGTTTTTCCCTCTCGATATTCCGACCGACCCTGTCTCCCGATTTTTACATTGTATACTTAAGTATCGATTAAATATTGTATTATCGGCATGTGACGATGCACAGCATCTGTGAGAGTGCGTCGAGTTCCGGTCTAGCGATTTCCGTTAATTTTACTTACCGCCATTGTCGTTGCTATGGTAACTTCCTTTAAATTAATACTTTAAAAGACTTACTTCCGTTTGGCGCCGTTTGAGTCACCTTAAAAGGAGTTGTTGGTGGGAGGTGTTCTCATAGCGTCGTCAACTTTCATACTAGCAACATCTTAAGCAGAAATTCTGCTCGTAATTGATTCGATAGTTTACTCTTTTTAGAAAAAATGTATATTGTTGAAGTTAATAGTTAAAATAAAAAATGAGTGAATGTAATTGAAGTAATAATGAAGTGTACATGATGGTGGTTGGTGATGAATGTGCCGACCGCGCTTCGAACGAGGGTAGTTCCGTCCGGCAGCAGGCAGGCGGAAAGCGGCGTGCGAGTTCTGAGCTTTCTTCGAGGCAAAACGAAAGAGACAAGGTACGTCTCGGATATTGATAATTACAGTATGCTTTTAAATCAAATGAGTGTGCAAACAAATCTTTTAATGAATAATTCGAATAACCATCCATCCATGGAGGTACCATCCAAAAGTAACGATCTGTCTTCTGATCACACTTTAAAACAGTCGTTCTTACAACCCCTGTTACTATCACAGAAAATAACCTTGAATTAAATATTGGAGTAATGAGTACTTCGGTGAAAGAACCAAAGATACTCAGCGCTGACCCCACTAGACTTATAAAACTAGAGCAATTGCAAAAAATTAACGATATTCGTTGGAAAGAGGTTCGGTATTCAGATGCCTTAAAAACCTATAGTACTCAACCGGGTTTTGTCGAACTTCGTATTAATGACGATTGCGTAATATATAAAAGGCAAGGATCTTGCGGTCCCCGTTGAGCGATCTTTGGCAGCTCTTACAAACGGATTGCTTTCTCAATATGAGTGCATTAAACGACAACTACAGGAGTTTGTCAACTGGACAGCCGCGCCCAACACTGAGCTTAATCCTTCAAGCGTGTTTGACAAAATATCGGACCTGTTTAATGCTCAGTCTAAATTTCACAAAATAAGTGAAGATATAATGCAAATAGTTTGTGGCAAACGTGCCGAATGTATTGAAGTACGTCGAGAGCGTATCTTGGCGGAAATACCTAACAAATATTTACGTGAGGGCTTACGAAGAATCCCTCCCAGTTCGGAATTTTTATTCGAAAGCTCTGCTTTGCAATCTAATATTCAAAGCACCAGGGGAATCGATAAGTGGATCCGACACTGGAGTGGTAGTGACAACGAACTCAAGCGAGTCGTCCAAAGGCAGCTCAAGGCGGGACCATCACGTGACCGTGGCAATAAGTCCTTTCGAGCTGATCAAAAACAAGGAATCGCGAAGCCAGAACCTTCCTTAGTCTTAGTCTTAGTAGAACGGCGGGCTGTTTCCGCAACTCGACACCCAGTGCCTATTTTGCGTGGGGATTGGCATCAGTCCTGCCAACCCAGCTCCTCCAAAAAGCTTAGCAATCCCCGGATGTTGCTGCAGGCTTCTACTCGTGTCCGCGAGCTTCCCATTAGAGAAGTCCTTTGTCTTGCAACGCCTCTGCACTCCAGCAGACAGCTCGTCTCCTCTTCCTCCAAGCAGGCTCTGCACAGAGGGCTGTCAGAAATACCTATATTATAAAGGTGTTTGTTGAAGTAGCCGTGACCCGTGAGTATACCCACGATTTGTTTCAGAGCTTGTCTAGTTAGTCGGATTAACTTACGTGATAGCTGCTGGTTTACCTTAGGAACGGCTTCCCTAGCTTGCCTGCAGTCAGTGTGTTTTGCCCAATATTCATCGTGTTGTCGTTGACAGCGCTCCCTTATCCAGGTTCTCAGCTGTCGATAAGGTATGGGTACAATTGGCTCCGGGCCAATGGCCGTCCTGCTGGACCCCTCTCTAGCCGGGCAGTCAGCCGCATCGTTACCCCTTGAGCCGCTGTGTCCTTTAATCCATTGTAAAGTCAGTCTATTGTCATTACAAATATTGGATAACTTACAGTGGCATTCGTAAATTAACCCTGATGTCATTATACTGTTGTCTAGTGCCCGTAGGACAGAAGCGCTGTCAGAGAGAATACGAATATGTTTTCCTCTTACCCCGCGGCAGTCTATCGCCTCTGCGGCTCTAATGATGCCCACACACTGCCTGGAAGACTGTGTTATGTGCTCCCAATGCTGTTGAGATGTGTATATTTAGGTCTTCGGAGAAGACACCCGAACCTGTCCCGCAGTTGGTTTTTGAACCATCCGTGTAGACCCTTAGCTCCTTGTGTAAACAGCGGTTCGGAGTGTCATACAGTTGTATTGTATATTTTTTGTCAAATACGTACGTCTTAGGAATAAGGTCGTTTACTGCTGCAAAGTACGGAAAGTGCCTGTGTATGTCTGCCAAGATACTGGTATGTGGAGAGCTATTGTCCCTCCATAGCCCCAGCATGCTTAGGCGAGTGGCTGTACAAGCAGCTTATAAATAAATGGAGTGGTCTCACATTAAGTATAGTCTCCAGTGCTGATGTGGGAGAGGTTTTCATGCAGCAGGCCCGCCTCTGGAGACGTCTTAACTTATTAGTTGTCGTTACCTGGATTGTCTTGGTCTACCATACTACTGCTGCATAGCTGATGATGGGCCTAATTATTGTCGTGTACAGCCACCTGACAATGAACGGTGGTAGTCCCCAAGTTTTGCTAATCATTTTCCGACACTGCCAGAAAATGATGTTGGTCTTCGTAGTAGTTTTGTCTATGTGTGATCCCCAGTTCAGTTTAGAGTCTAGGGTTACTCCTAGATACTTTACCTCATTGGAGAGAGTTAGTGTCGTGTTTAAGAGTTTCGGTAGCCGATAGTCACCTAAGGATCTTTTGTTCGTGAACATTACCAGTTCTGTCTTCACCGGATTCACCTTGAGGCCATAGTCGTCATACCATTTTTCAACCACCTTCAATGCTCCCCTTGTAACATCACAGGCGGTGCTCGCAGACTTACCCGGGACCATGATTGCCAGGTCGTCCGCGTAGCCCACCGTGTGGAAGTGAAGGTTGTTTAGTTTGGTGATTAAGTCGTTTACGACTACATTCCATAGAAGAGGCGATAGTACTCCTCCTTGAGGACATCCTTTAGTCGCCAATGCTCTGAGATGGTTGTCGTTCTGTAGTCTGATTAGTCTGTTAGGGAGCATGTTGCTTACCCAGTATATGATGGTCTCATCTACTCCGAGTTTGCCGAGTGCGTCTACAATACTGGCGAAACTTGTTTTGTCAAACGCCCCTTCTATGTCTATAAAGGTGCCCAAACACAGCTCTTTCCGTCTGAGACAATCCTCTATTTTACTTACGACTGCATGTAGTGCAGATTCTGTCGACTTGCCTGGACTATAGGCGTGTTGGTTCGGATGTAATGGAATATTGACTAGTTGGTTGTCTCTCAGCTCTCTGTCGCACAATCTTTCTAGAGTCTTTAGTAAAAATTATGAGAGACTTATCGGTCTGAAAGATTTCGCCTCGTTGTAGTCTGCCTTACCTGGCTTTGGTATAAAGATTACCTTGACCTCCCTCCAGAGCTTCGGCGTGTATCTAAATGCAAGACACGCTCTCAGGAGGGGCACCAGGATAAGGATAAGCGCTTCACCTGCCCATTGGAGCAGCGCCGGAATGATGCCATCTGGTCCGGCTGCCTTGAATGGTTGGAAGCTGTTAATGGCCCACCTTAACTTGTCTATAGACACTGTCCTCAATGCAGTGTTCCAGGATTGTTCCGTGGGGGTCCAGCTAGTGTCATTCCAAGTATGTGTCGTGTGTATGATGCAGCCCGGGAAGTGGGTTTCAAGTAGTACCCTCTGTGCCTCCTCAGTTGTTTCTGTTAGGGAGCCATCAGCCTTCCGAAGCTGCGCTAGTTCTTGCTGCTTGTCTTTAGTTAGTAGTTTCCTTACCTTCTTTGCCTTTGTGCATGAGTCTATTTCTGAACAAAATTTTCTCCAAGACCCATTGCTCCATTGTCGATTGCGTCTTTTGGAGCTCTATTTTTGAATCACTCGCCTTGCGTCGAACGCTCGATTTCTACTTAATTTCATTCGACATAATTAATTCCGTATTTTTGAATCGCTCGAGTGCAACGAATGGGCGAGACCACTCGCTGCATGGCGAACGGTGGAGGCGAATGATAGAATAATTGTCAAATTTTTTGTGCTATTAAACGACGATAATCTATCATTGTCATGCTTTATATGAAATGACAACGAGAATTTTTTGTTCAGTTTTCTTTGCGGTCATTATCGGTTTTTATTTTTTCTGCGTGAAATTCATATTTTGTATTATACAGGTAACACTCGTGACGAATGATTCAAAAATACGGAAAATCAGTATTATGCGACTTGAAAGTCGAAGGTGACTTATGTCGCATTCGACGATACTATGTCAGACGAGTGATTCAAAAATAGGGCTCCTGGTCGTCACATGTATTCATGGCCGTGTTAAAGTCTTCTTACCTTTTTTCTCAGTTTATCCAGCTCGGGACCCCACCAAGACTTGTTGGCATCCGAGCTGGATGATGGCGTACTGAGAGGACAGGCTGTCTGATAGCATGAGATGATTACTCTTGTTAATTCCTCAGCTGTTTCGTCTATCTTATCAGTTTCGTTCAAACTTTCAGACTGCATATGTCGCAATG